TTACCGGGCCGACAAATTGGAACAAATACGCGCGGCGAAGGTAGGTGGGTAATTATGGGACACGAGCGGAGGGCCTTGAAATTTTTCGTTACCACCGGTGGCACCGGTAACTCTGGTTTCTGGCCTCCCGCCCCGAACACGAGACTAGGTCAAGTCTACGTGACTTGACCGCACGAAGGACAAGTCACTTGTACTTGTTCCGCGGCCGCCGACTTACGACTCGCCGCGTACGACGGCCACGAAAGTAAAAGCCGACCGAGCGGGCCACCGATCATCTCTCGCGACGCCGCCGCCTCCTTCGAGACACCTTTCTCGGGGCACACACTGTCGTGCGGGACAGGTTCTTGGCCGGGCTCTCGGCGATATACCGGTCCGGATGGATGAAATATCGAGGCGAACTCGTTGAACGTCGTTGATTCCGTCGGGTTTAATAAAATTATGTAAATGGGGAGCGCGCGAACGAAGAAACATCACGGTTTCGGTCTCGAACGACGCTTTGTTTCGGGCGTGCATTGTGCGAGGAGATTTTTTTTTTTTTATCATCGTGGAGAGAACAGTCTTCTTGCCTGTAATTCGTTTCGATTTTTAAGAAAAGGCGATTATTTCGAGTAGAACGCATTTTTAAAAATCGTGTGGATTGTTATTATTAGTCGTAGTCGTAGTTTTTGAATAGGATCGAGAATTTTAAATAATTGCCATACATTTGCATTTTATTCTACGATTTAATCTAAGCGTTGGCATCTTAGAGTGAAAAGAAGTTTTATACGTATATTATATATACATGTATAGTTGATGGTGAGTTATTCTCGATGACACTGCATAAAAGAATCTTTTCTCGAAAGATTCCAAGTAGCACTCGAGACGTAGGCAAGTGGACAATGGACTGGAACTGGTGAACACAAGGAAGAAGTTTGCCGCATTTACGTATGTTCTCTACGTTCAACCGAATCAATTATTCAGCGCGCGTAAACCGTCTCCCACGAAGGTTTCAATTACACGACGATTCGTAACGATATTACACTTAACGTTGGCGACCAGAACAAATGCCAGACCGATCTTTTACGAGGACAAGGAGAGCGACGCAACGACGATCGAACGGCATCGTGACTCGATTCGAGCGCGTTTAACAGGTCTAATGAACACTTAGCGTTTAACATAAAACAACAAACGACTCGTGCCTGGATTAGACAAGCAACCTATACGGCAAATTGCGTTCCCTTGTCTCCCTTTTTCTCCTGACTTCTGATCTTTCGCTCGCACGCTCTAATGCGATCGGAATGCGAAATACCGTGGAATACCTCTCTGTATAACCCGTTGCCAAAAGTTTTTTATTACGCACGATTTATTTCTTTCTTTCTTTCATCATCGTGCCTTTTCAAATCTCTGCAGGCTGAGAATCGATTATTCCCTAAATTTCGTGATTAAATTCGTCTGATTCGATATCCTTCGATGAAAAATATTAAGAAAAGAATATATATAACGAATATATGAAGAACGAAAGTATGAAACAAATTTTAGCTGAAAGATAGGCGAATATTAATTAATCTAATTGGAAATTTAATAAAGTGTACCCGCAAATTATTCAAGTAGAATTAATATCTATTCGGAAACCGAACGATTTATCTCTCGGTTGAAGTTGATTAATTCGTCTTCTGATCTTTCGACTCACGATGAAGGGAGGGGGAGAAAAAAATTGAGAGATTTCAAATTCAGATCAATGTTTCACGATCGAGCGAGTGGCTTCGAACCGGAGTTCTTCTATTCAGAATGGAACACGTTCGAGGTATCGAAACCTCGGAGGCAGTTAATTAAGATTAGCTCAATTATACGCGTTTAACCCACTTTCGCCTTGGTTGCGCAAAATCGTTCAACGATCTGAAACACTGCGACAGATGCTAATAACGATTTCCACCGGTTTTATAATAAGAGCGAGCAGCCGGCAAAAAGCGCGCAACCGGCTTCGCCGCGCACGGACAACACTCTCGCGCGCACTGCCTAATGAGCCGCAATTAATCTCACGATTCGAAACGTGTATTTATATTAAACAGCCTCGATGACGATCGCGACGTAGGAGAATCATCGTTGCCACTCGTGACTCATCGTCCTCACTTTTGTTCCTCGAATCGAACTCAACGATCCGACTTTCAACCCTTTCGAGACGATAGATCTCCGAGCGTTATTTACTTAAGCGTCGTAGCGATTATTTTAATTCCTTCTGTTCTGCCCATTGAAACGTTATTCCACGCTTTATTTCGTTGAAACGGGACGTGTTTATTTATCGACACAAAGGGATAGGTAGCCGAGCTATAAGAATACAGAAATGTTATTCCAAAGAAATATTTTGAACGGACAAGTGGTAAACAAACGAGGAATAATTAATATATGTTCGAGTATATAATTAATCACCGCGACGTTTAATATCGAGCCACTCGAGTGGTGAATTCGCGTCGCATTTTCGAATGCTCAAAAAAAAAAAAGAAGATGGCCACGAAAGAGTTAAGAAGGAAGGGACGGTCGTCACGAATCAGCGTGAGAACGTTGTTCATTGGAAACGGGGAAGATTACGAAGTGCGGTTCGAGGGCTCGTTGAAATCCCTTCCTTGAGATCGATGAGAGAGAGAGAGAGAGAGAGCGCGCATCGCTTAAAAATAGTCGTTCGAACGCGATACGTTTAAACAGAAACAGCAGGGAAGGCTGAAATGAGCCAAGATAACGGTGCATCGGAGACAGTATCTGGTTCAAGGGCTGTGTGCACTGCGCGCTTTTAAGAAAGTCTTCGACCTCGCGAGAAACCAGTCGTGAACAGGGATCGACGTACGTGGAGATCGTAGAAAGTTGAACGATTATAGGATACGAATCGATCGATCCTTCGCGTTGATCGAGATTTTAATCTTTCGCTTTTTCGCGATTACGTGATCGCGTTATATTTATTTTCGTAGATAAAAATCGATCGGCGTCTCGAGAATTATCCTCGAGTCAAGGGATTAAATGCACGGAACAATTGAACGGATAGAAATCCGATCGAAATCGAATCGCGAATAGCGATCATCGAAACAAAGCAAAATCGGAATCTTGGCGATTTTTCTGAAGGAAAAAAAAGAAAAAAGAAGAAGAACAAAAAGGAAAGGAGAGGAGAGAATAAGAAGGAAAGGATCACGTGACTGCTGAAACAAAAACGAAGGCGCATAACCTCGCGACACGAGCACCTCGATGGCACGAGTCCGGCGATCTCGGGTTGGGAGAGGGTGGGAGGACATTGGAGAGGGCACACACGACGTGCAAGCGAGGAAGGAGGAGGCGAGGGGGGAGGGGGGAGGGGGGGGAAGGCAAGCCCCGACCATACGTTTGAGTTGGTTGACCCGGCTCGGCCACGTTCCTACCTTCACCTCAACTTCGTCCTAAGGAATAGCCTTCACGCTTGCGATTTCATTCCACACACGCGACCACGCTGCTTTATTCCTGAATCGACCGACCCCCGCTCGACCGCCTCCGCTTGTCTCTGATAATTGATAGATCGAAGTAGGAAGGGGAAGGGAAACGGGATTCGATCGGGTGAAAATTTATTTATTTTGTTTGTTTGCATCTTTAGATTAGTGTAAAAGTAAACACCGAGTTAAACGAATTATCGTTAATAAAAATCTACTTACGAAGTAGGGATTCATCAATTTTTATAATGATCAACGACACGATTCGACGTAGATATAATAATAACATACTTTTATACCGTGAGGTTAGCTTAGCTTTAAACTCGAGCGGAGAAATTATTCGAGCGTGCAAAGAATCTAAGATCGTTATATGTAGGAGCTGCGCCGCGACGGACACCGCGACGTACGCGATACACGATGATGCAATGCAATGAGAAAGAGTTGAAGCGTGAAGAGGGTTGGCCATCTTGGCCTCTCCCCATCCCCCCCCTCCCCCCCTTCCCTCCCCCAAGCCGTGCTCATAATTCACGGGGAAACGGGACATTTTCCGGTTTCGAGGATCCCGGAGGAAGCGGTGCCTTTCGCAGTTGTTGGAGAGGCAGGAACGGAACGGAGAGGATCCGAGTAAAGCCGGTATTACGGAGTGGTAGCGGATCGAAATAGTGCAGGGAGGAGGGGGGGGGAAGGGAGGAAGGGGGTTGCCGTTGCGAGCGACGGGGAGGGAGAGATTAACGACGGGGAGGAGGGGAAGGGAAGAAAGCAAAGGACAAGAAGGGGGGAGAGGGAGCTCTCGAGGATTGTGCGCCTCTGGCGCGATGTTCAGCTCGTGGAGGATTACTACCTCTCGAACCGGCGGCGGAGGGAGGGGGAGGAAAGAGCGGCGGAGGCGGGGGGGGTGAAGGAGGGGCAGACATCACGTCGTCAATCATGGTCCAGTTGCTCCTATGTACTACATATTCCCGGCGTGAGAGGAGAAGGGAGAGGGAGCGCGGCCTGTGCACGCTGCTACTGCATTGTGGCGCACAATGTTCAATCATCTCTGCGTCGATTCCTTCGGCTTTAATTGAAGAAAGGGTCCCTCGAAACCGCGCGAGAAGAAGAAGAAGAAGGAGCGCGGGAGGAAGAGCGAGGGACAGCGCGCGGTGGTGAAGGGGGCACGGGGAAAAATGCGGGAGGGGGGGGGGGAGAGGAGGAAGGAAAGAGAGGAAGGAGAGAAAGAAACGGAACGGAAGAGGGGAAAAAAAAAAAGAATCGCGGGGGTGTCGTTGACCCCACGACGACGACGATGACGACGACGACGACGACGACGACGACGATATTGTGTACCACTCGAGTGTTTAAGTCGAGGCGAACTCGAAGGACCCGGGCCTCGAAGGAACAAGGACCTCCTCAGCCACACTCAGCCGAGTCCTTGGGGCCATGGATCATTAACCAGGGCGAACCGCGAAATACGAGATCGCGCCGAAAAATCACGGACCTTTTGAATCGTGTGCACGCTCCATCGCCCTATCGTTCCTATCCCTATCGTGCCCATCTCCCCCCCCCCCCCTCCCTCCCTCGTTTTTATTTCTCTCGGCCGGGAGAAAGGTTCGAGTGGCGGTGTCGGAACGAAAGTGTGCGGGGCCGAAAGGGAATAAAAAGGGAAGAAAGGAGAGGAAGGAAACGAGGGGAAACGCGAAATTCACCAATTTGTTGCGAAACGCACTATCGATTCCCGGTGTTCGACCTTTCTTTCTCGAAGTAGGAAATAGGAAGGAGGTAGGGAATTCCTCGAGTGTTCTCTCTGCCGAGAACGACAATGAATTCTTTCTCTCTCTCTCTC